CATAGTACACGCCCGCATCATTTCTAGAGCTGTAAAAGTTTGTAAGAAAGGCGACCAAAACCGATATCGTTACTGCACGGTTGACTTCATTACCCGTTGATTCATTTGACTGTGTAATACTTCTACAACAATCGGGCTGGCTTCCATATTGTATTCTGGTTGATACTGATTAAATGTAACACATAATTTCCTTATAAGTGTACTAAATGACAGGACTCACTCCGCGATTTATCGCTTGCAAGCACCATGTGTTTTAACGATACCCTTCAAATATTTTAACGATAGTGCCAGGAGATCGTTAAGAAAATCGACGAAATGTGATACACTCCAGATTTCTATGGCTGCGAAACTCGGTATCTCCGACAAATTCAAAGAACTCACGAAGGTGTGGCACCAGAGGAAGTATTACTCAAAGTACTGGACATCGGTTCACTCTACGGCGAAGTAGACCTTAAAGTGTAGTGCAACTGGTCGAAACTTGACGGAATTCAATGTATGATTTTCGTTTATGTACCGTGATACCTCTTTCTCCTATTGTATCTGTACGTGTCCTTCAAACTGCAAAACTTTTCAGAATTTGTTTTTGCGTGAAACATATTTACTTGGGCATCGGGTAGGCTGAGATAGTATTTCTAGTGATAGCTGTAACGCAATAATGAAATTTGCTGCACCTTAGGCCACTGTAACAACTCACATACAGCTTTCTATAGCAAGTTAGAAGGGATAGTTCGTGTATTGATTAACCCTATGCAATAAGAAATGGTGATGAAGTATTTGATTCCGTGAGTATGACGCGAGTATCACTCTCGTGTAGTTATGCAGCTTCAAGTATCAATCTGTGCAACTGGTATAGCAACAAGTAGTACGTGGGGGCAGGTCACACGAGGTCGAAACGTTCATCAACCAGCACGATCTTGTCTTTGGTCACGTTAAAGACCTTGAGCTCGTAGAATGAATGTCCTCCTCCGTTACAAAAAAAAATGAAAAGATATATTGCATGTACTAGGGCTACGTGGGGCTGGTATTGGATCGGACCACTTTGTTTCTTACCTGTAACTACCTAGTTCCGCAGATACACGCTCTTGACTATAATGCAATCTAATAAGATAGAAGTGCAAAAAATATAATAACAACTAATTGCTGCTATTATCAATCCTACGTGCTAAATTGTAGCGACGATGCGACTAATGCCGTGCTGCGCCCGGGAAGCTCTGGATGTTTGGGTACCCAATATTTAATATTATAATATTTGTCAATAGGAAGAAACTGAAGCGCGAAAAAGGATGGGCCCCCACTTCGCCAGCGACACTTG